AGAACGTGTAATTGAGCAATTAATTTAGACGTGATTTTTTATGGTGACATCTAAGTTTAAGTAGAGTATAAAAACATTTAAAGTTTCCCTTATTTATAAGTTTAATTTATTAGTTTCCATAAGAATTTAGGATTTGGGAAGATTTTGGTATGCTGTCAGAAAAACTGAAGTACTTAAAAAAGAAATAAATACATTAAATTTATAAATGCATGTGTTTGAAGTGCTGAGCTAAGCTTGTAAATAGGACCAAGCATGATTCAAAGGCTCCTCCAAAGTTATTGGTAAAATCTGCTACACTTATAAATAGAATAGTAAGATTTGTAAGCTGAACTTAAAAGCCTAACAAAGGTTTTTTTAATCTGTATCTTAAATTGAATATTGATTCTAAAGACAAAGTTATTAATTGTATTAAATGATTACTAATTATTAAACTTATTAAAATATTATTTTTAAAGCCAAATTTAAACTTAATTTTTATAGGAAAAAAACTCACTGAAATCTTTCCTACATAAGAAACCCACTGTCCAGGACACCGAGTCCCCACCCCCAGCCCCACTCCCTACCCCATGAGATTTTTCTAGACGTGGCTGGAGAAGAGCAAGAGAGGCAACTTCGTTTTTCTGCTTTTCTGGAAACCATCTCACCTTGTAGCAGGCTGAGGAGATCATGCCCCAGCGTAGCTGTTTTGCTTCCTCACCTTCTATCAAGCTAGGATCCCTCATGGGATGGAGAGGATGACCAGTGGACTTGGGGTGAAAGAACCTGGGGTCGAGGCCCAGCTCCATCGCTTAAAGAACTCAAGCCTCAGTTCCCCACCCCGCAAAACAGGGGTGATAGCTGCCTTGCAAGGTTGTCAGGAGGATCAGCACAGTGCTGGGCACACCAGGGCAGCAGAATCGGAATCTTCCTCCTGCTGGATCCCGAGAGCAGGGGGCGTTAGGGCAAGGAAGTTCTTGCCCGAGCACACTGGCCTGGGACACTCCCTCTTACTCTTGGCAGGAGGACTTTTCCAAAGATGGTGCTGTGCAAGCCCTCTCCCTCCCTTCCTCAGGCACATGTGCCAGGCCCCAAAGGAATCTCTCACCAGACTGAAAGAGGACAGGCTAAGAAAGAGGCGGCTGGCTCAGGAGCAAAGCAGCAGCCCTGGGGACAGGGTTAGCTCTCTGCAGGGACACAGCAGCCACTGGCTGGAGCAGGGAGGGGAGGGGCTGCAGGGAAGGGCTCAGACTTGGCCCCCACCTATGTCCACAGGTCCCCTGGCCACTAGGTAGCCTAGTTGGAACATGCTTAGGGAGTAGCCTGGGGAAGGTGTCTGCCGAGGGAGAAAGGGAAGAGGGTGAAGGAAGGCCCTTTCTGCAAATACTGGGGAGCGAAGGGGTGGAGATCAGAATTATCACCGTCCTACTAATTCATTCAATGCACATGACTTAGAACTTTCTCTGTGTTGCTAGGCCCCAGGCATGCAAACCGAAATCTTACACATCCCTGCCTTCCTGGCACGTGCACCTGAGAATGAGGCAGGAGTGGCTCCTTCTACCTGGAGAAGCTGTGGGGAGGGCCCCCAGGGAGAGGGAGCAGCAGGAGGAAGGTGGGAGGGTATGGAGGTGGAAGGCAGCTTCCCTGGACAATGACCAGTCCTGGGGAGACTGACGCTTGTTCTCAGGGAGTCAGAGAGCAGCAAAGGAGGCCAGAGAGGCAGGTGGGGGCCAGCTTGGGAAGGACCCTGGAGTCAAGTTCAGGTGTGTGGAGTTTATTGGAAGCCAGGGAAAAGTTTTAAGCAGGGATTGCATTTTAGAACGATCAGTTGGTGGTGTCCATAGGGAGGGATGGTGTCTGGGGACAAATACAGGAAGTACCAAGTCATAGAAGTCCAGACAGGGGACGATGAGGGCCTGAAGGCACATGACACAGGAAGAGAAGGGTTTGAGGGAGGGGCTCCAGAATCGTCACCCTGGGAGTCGGGGCCATGCTGGGTGGAAGTCAGGCTTAACGGCCCCTGACCCAGGCCAGCCAGTCTCCCCTGGACACCAAGACCAGCACTTGCCTGCCCAATGCACCCTCATCCTCCTAGGGTCCCCAGCACACCACGTGGCTGCCTTTCTCCTACGGAAAGAGATGTCAGAGAGGGGGCTGCAGAGGCAGTGCCCACAGACAGACATCACAAGACAGAGATTATCCTGGATTATCGGGTGGGCCCAATGGAATCACAAGGGTCCTTAAAAGTGGAAGAGGGAGGCAGAATGTAGGCTGGCGTGATGCAATGTGAGAGGGATTCAACCCACCATTGCTGGCGTTGAAGATGAAGGGGGGCCGTGAGCCAAGGAGTGTGGGTGGCCTCTAGAAGCTGGCAAAGACAGGGAAATGGATTCTCCCTTAGAGAGGAGACAAAAGCAGCCCTGCTGACACCTTGATCTTGGCCCAGCGAGAGCCATGTCAACTTCCAGCCTACAGAGATAACAAACATGTGCTGTTTTAAGCCACTAACTTGTGGTAATTTGTTACGGCAGTGATAGGAAACGAAAGCAGACTGTAAGGCTGGCTCCTTATCATTCAGGTCTCAGCTCAAATCAATTTTAGAGAGACCTTCCTTAGCCACCTTCCCTAGGGCGCCCTCGCATCACCCCTAGTCACTGCATTCTGCCATTTTATTTCATCTGGTGTTCATGATTTGAAATACCTGTCAACATGATTCCCTCATCAGAGTGTAAGTTCCCAGAGAACAGGCACCTTAGTTATCTGTCCATCTCTGCGTCCCCAGCCCAAGGAAATTGCCTACGCACAGTGGCAGCTCCACAAATGTTTGGTGGGTAGTGGGAGTGGATGGCCGAGAGAACATGGGGGCGCACCAGTGACATGAAATCTACCCGGCAGAACACTCAGCGGTTCTTCTCCCCAGTTACAGCCTCTGAGGGCTCAAGCAAAATGTACAGTACACTCCCCTCTACGTCCTCCAGGATCTTCACTCAGTTCAGGTCACACCTCTTTGAATGCTAAGCCTTCAGAGGCCACAGGCTTATGCTGCTCCAGCCCTCCTAGGAAAACTTAGAGAGTAAAATATTATAAATTCCCTGTGCCAGACAATCAGAGGGGAATATATGAGGACACAGTCCATGAGTAAATACGGTAAAAGTATTCCCTCTGGGTCACACACTCTGGGAAGAGACCAAGGTGGTTTTAGAAGAGGCCTTGCCCTCTCAGACTTTGTTCAGTGTTTCCAAGGCGCTGCAGACAGGCTGTTTCTCCAGGAAATGACTTGCCGGTGCCGCTGAGGATGGCAAACAAAACCCAGGAGGGACCGGCTGAGCTGAGGCTGCTGCCTGACCCTGGAGTGGAGGCAGGGAGGCAGACACAGGAAGCATGAGGACAGGACGCATAAAGATCTAATGGACTGCTGTGCTTGCAAGTGCAATCGAGACACGCAATGTGGGGGCAGGGTAACGTGTACAAAACGGTGTTTATTGAATCCGGTTTGGAAACAGACAACATGAAAGGTTTTTGGTTTGTGAGCTCACTCCGAATTTAGAGTCGTGATCACTTCCTGTCATTAAACCTCAGCCACAGGAAGATCCTAGCTTAAATAGCAAAAATGAATCTTCATCTCATCAAGGGGAGAAAAAGTGGTTAAAAACACTACAGCTGTCACTCTTGCAATATTTCTGATGGCTAAAATGCCCATAAACATCAAGAAAATTTTTATACATACAGTCTGAAATATTTATTGTACATCAAAGGTGAAGTTTTAAACTGGCTAAGTCATCAGCAATTAAGGACACTGGATCTGAACTGACACTCCCATTCTCAACCTAAGAGCTCACGTATTTAACTGATGACTGCTGTCTTCATCAGGGGCATTTGGTATATGGAAAAGAGATTTCTAAAACATATATATTGTTAATGTTGTAAACTAAAAAAGCAAACCCAAGCATGATTGATTACTCTGCTTGGATCAATAAATACTAGTCCCAAGTGCTATAGTATACCAATAAGGACAGAAGCCATCGGTTAAATAAATCATCATGTTGCTACTTACTGATGTTCCATTTGCCTAATGCATGTTAGTCAATTTGTGGACTTTATCCAACACATACACAGAGATTATTTTTGGTTTGGAATCCTCAGAAGATCTCCTTTGGACATTTCTCTTCCATCAGTCTTAGAAGGATGAAAATGAAACAAGTTCTTAAACAAAATTTCCAAATTACAAGCCATCAAAAGCACAACTCTGGTCATATTTCAGATCTTCCCCCAGAAGGGAAATGCCATCAAGGCTTGGATGAGCTTAGATTTCTTCCCCCGCTGGCAGCTGAAACTGGCCTCATCCTCTCCCAGCACCCCCTGCCATATTGGAAGCCAGGCTGGCTCAGGTCTCTGAGATTTCATGAACAACGTTGCAGAGACTAACAGGATACCTAGAAGCTGCCAGAAGGGTCCAGAGGAGCCTTCTCTTTTTTCTGGAGCTGTAATTAGTGGGGCCAATAGGCAAATATGAAGAGAAGAACAGGGATTCAGAGTGAATAAACTGCCCAGGCCCAGAGGGAACAGTGTTAAGGATACAGCACAGTACCAAAGGCTGCTGCCCCAAAAAGCATCTTGAGGCCTCACATGTTAGAAATTTCAGGCACTTCTGGGCACCTCTTTATTCACAGGGAATGAATATCTCTCCAAAAGGTCCCACCCACATCTTCCCCTTCACCCTGTGAAGCACTGAGACATCCCACTGGCTACAACCCTCTGTTCACGAGGCACGCTGAGTCCCCTACCTCAAGGTAGCTTTTCCTCTAAACTACAGCACTCACAAACACAGGCCATTCTGTATTCAGGTCCGGCTGCTTCCAGAGCTCTGCAGCCCATGCACCCTGCCCACCACGGAGCACTTCCACCCTGAACCACTGCCAATCTCCTTTTTTAGGAGGGTTGCTTACTTTTTAGTTTGAAGCCACACACCGTTGGAAATGAGCAGTGCAAGATCCCACGTGCAAATATTTGCAACAATTTTTTTGAAACGATGCACATTTAAAGAATTCAAGTCAAATCCAGGAACAGACTAGTTGTTTGGTATCAGCTGGCCCCGCACCCACTAGGAAAATGGCCAGTTTCTGAAATGAGAGAGGGAGGAAGGCACCAGCTACTGCTCCGGGGAGGTTAGTGCCTTGAGCGTGGGAGGAAGCCTGAGAGGGAAATGCCGAGGCTTAATCAGAGACGGGGGGGTCTCCAGCCTTGTGGCCGCCTGCGCCAAAAGCCCAAGGCGGCATGGAGGGTCTGGATATAGGTGAGGATGGACCCTCACCCACGAGGGGGGCAACTCTTCCCCAGTAGTTCTGAAACTAAAACAAGGAAGGTGCATTCCCAGGGTCGTGCTTGGTAGGGCTGCAGTCTACCCTCACTCAATAAGACAGGAGCAGAGGTACCTCTCGATTACCTCTTTTCACCCACAAGCCTCTGCATCACCGGAACCTAAAGGGGACTCTGAAAGCCAACACGTCCTGGATGGGTCTGTGTGGCCCAGACAAGCTCCTGCTATGGGAATGCCAGGGGCAATGGGATATATCATTGGGAGCAACGGACAGTCCAATATCCGAGGGGAAAAGGCCCAGAGATGAGGATCTGAGTCAGGCAGGCAAGGCTGGAAGTCAGACAGAGAACATGAGGCAATTGAGTCTAAGTGGCTGCAGAGAGGTGGTCACAGTCACAACAATGGAGGGGTTGACAACAAGGATTTCCCCGGGGCACTCAGACTAGGCCTGTACCCGAAAAGCCACAAGGCAGCATCGCCCAAAGGAACAGCCCCTCGTGCTCGCTGGGGATGGAGCCGTCCCCATCCTGCTTGCCAGGCAGGAGCTGGGAAGTCCAGAGGTGGGCCTTCAGCTGAGGGAGGCACAGTTCAGCTCCGAGTCCTCCTGGCTGCCCCCCGCCCCCTCCTCCAGCTCATCAGGGCTGTCGGTGATGTTGGGCTCGCTGGAGCACTGCCGGTGGGGCGGGGGGAAGCTGGGCGGCAGGAGCAGGCGCTTGTCCTCACTGCCAGGCTCCTCGCCCAAGCCTGAGTGCATCCTGGTGGCCATGGCCAGCAGCTGGATGTCCGAGTGGGCATTGGCCACCGTGTGCCGCCGGACGCTGCCACACTTCTCTAGGTAGGCCTCCCCCTCTTGCTCTGTCAGTGGGGTCAGGGCCATCTCGTTCAGGGGCCGGCTGACAGTGGTCATCGGGGAGGCATAGTTCAGGAGAGTGACCTTGGGCCGGACCCTGGAGTGGCGCCTGGCTGCAAGAGAAAAACCAGCAAAGGCTATAATGGCGGAGAGGAAAGTAGGGGTCCAAAGCTCCTGATCAATCTGGGGGAAGAGGGAGCAGGTGGCTCCACCTGCAGGAACAGCATTAGGGGAAGCCTGCTGGAATGCAAGCCAGGAAGTTGGGATGTCGACATGTGTCTCTTGCAACTTTATCTGTTTGTGCCAGATACTGCCCCTGACCGAGCCTCCCCCCATAACAGGGGTCACCAAAGGCCTTTCCTCGATAGATCAGGTTCAAGGGACTCTCTCTTTCCCAGCTGCTGCGTGAGCTTCACTGGATTTGCCCTAAATTCCCTGTCAATCAGTCTCCTCTGAAGACTTGGGCACTGGCTAGACCAGCTTCCAAAAGAAGCCCTCTGGTTCCATTCAGCTGGACACAGCCTCTGCAGTATCAACGTAAGCCTAAATCCAGAGGAAGAGGTAACTGGGGGCCCCTCAGCTATCACAGTTCGGGCAGTGGGACACCCTCCAAATCGTCCTGACCCGGGACTCCCAACGCTCCTTCTCTTCCAGCCGGGACCGTGGTCTGAGACCCACGTCTGTTCAACTCAATACTCTGGACTCCAACAGCCTTTAGCATCATCGACGAATGGGCTAGGCTCCACGGAGGCAGACACAAAGAGGAGGACTGGACACGAATCATTGTTACACAACGGCTGCGGCTTGAGCTCTCACCACACTCCAGAAACTTGACATGTATCCATCTTCTGAATCCTCCTAAAAACTGAACCTAAGTCATGATGTATTATCAGTTCCTGCTTTGCAGAAGAGAAAGCTGAGTATCAGAGAGGTCATAACTTAGCCACGCTCACACAGCTAGAATGCAGGAGAGCTGAGACTCACACGTGGTCTGTCTCACTCCAGACCTCGCTCGTCCCAGCTGCCATGCAAAGCGCACAGATACCTGTAACAGGCTAGATACCCAAGGGAAGGACAAGCCAAGTACGTGGGGTTCAAAGAGAGGAAAAAGTGTACCCATGTGGAGACAATCAGGAAACTTGCCAGGGAGGATGTACACTGGAGATATGCCTTCCGAGTAGCAGAACTCCCAGAAGGGAGCAGGGGTGACAGCGTCATGAGCAATGGGAGCAGCCTGAGCACAGCGGGCCACAGCTTGGCCAGAACACAGCCTACGTGAATCAGGGGAGATGTGCCCAGGCAGGCAGGGTGAGCCATGTCGTAGGAAGCCCCTCAGAAGCCAGATGGAACCATCTGTGATCAATAGACAAGCCATGGGGTGGGGAGCAGGCGGCACTGCAGGTGTAGGCAGGATGGGGGCTGGGCTTCAGGAAGATTCACCTGGCAGGAGCGTGCACGGTTGGAGACTGGGAGGCCAGGAGTCAGGAAAGCCAGGGAGACCATGTATAATTTTCTACAATAAATATGGATTACATGTGGAAAAAAATGAGCACTAACATCAGAGTCAAGGTGACAGGTGACCAAGACAGCAACTCGAGTCGTGGTGGTGATGAGGGCGAGGCAAGGAAGAGCACGGGCTGGAGCCCCCCAAGACCGCACTACAGGAGCCAACAGGCAAGATGCCCAGGGAGGGGAGAAGAGGACTCAGGATGGCGGCAGCGCCGGGCTGTGCGACAGGATGACGGGGAGGGGCTGGGAACAAGCCGACGGATCTGCAAGTTTGAACTGGGGGAAAGAAGTTTTGGCTACAGATAGAAATTCGGATCTTTTCAAAAAATATTGAAGGACGTAAGAAAATGTTCACAAAATAATAATATTTGGTGACAAAAGCAGAATATAAACATTATTATATGCACTTTTTCCTTTTTTAAACAAAACTGGGGTTATACTAGGTGGTGTATTCACACACATACATGCACACATATGTATAAAAACCAGGAAGTCTATATCTAACATCAAAATAGCAACAGCAGAAGGGTAGAAGGATTACTAGTGATTTTTAAAGTTTCTTCTTTATCCTTTTTAAAAATATTTTCCAAATTTTATTCCATGTGCATGCATTTCTTTCATAATGAGAAAAAAACATTTTGGGATGTGAAAACTCTGGAGTCCCCAGTGGCTGTAACCCTCAGAGTAAACGTGACCTCTCTGAAGAGGAAGAGGGGTCAAGACTAAGTCATTCTCTTGCATGCCTGCACGAGGGGGTGGATGCCGCCCGAGGGCTCACGGGAATGACGATTAAATCACTCACAGCCAGCACACACTGAGCACTTGAGAACGGCGGGCACTGTTCTCAGCACCTTCCAGGTGTGAGTCCTTTCCACCCAGTGAGGCGGGGCCTGTTGCCATTATTGCCGTGTCACCGAGGGGGAGCTAAAGCACCATGAGGGCAAATAACCTGCCCAGTGTTACCACGAGGAGGCATAGCTCGGGCTGGAAGACGGCCTGGCCTCCAGAGGCCGAGCATCTTCACCAGTGAGCCCCTCTGCCTCTCAAGAAGGAAGGAAACCCTAGGATGGGCTGGAGAGGTGGGAGAAGAACCAAACAGTCAAGCAAGTAAAATCCAGGGAGAAGATTCCAAAAGAGGAAGCCTATATAGCAGCAACACCCCAATTCCCAGGGCCTCTCCTCTCCCCACCTCCACAAGGACTGGGCCAGGACAGGGACCACGACACCCCTGCACCTCCTCGCTTCCAGTGGAGCCTCCTCCCTGTGCTGCCCTAGAGGCACCCGCCTCTTCTCCAGCTTGGGCACCGCATCTGCGTCGGGAGCTGGATGAAAGACCCCAGCAAGGCAGAGGAGGTTGAGGATTGAGGCCTGAGAAATGGGTGGGCTCTGTTCAAGCCCTCTTCTTTTCAACTGCCCCTCTCCCAGAGCGCACCCCTCCCAGACTTCCAACCACCCACCCCATTTTGCCTGTCATGGCTTTCCTCGGCTCCCACAGGATCCCTGAGACCCTGAAGACCCCAAAAGAAGACACTCCGTCTCTCAGCAGGGGATGCAGCAGGGAGCAAAGCAGAGGGGCCTGACAGTGTTGACGTTCCCTGGGCTCTGCCAGGATCACGGGGAAAGCAGACAGTGCCTTGGGGACAGGCGGCCTCTGCTGTGTTGGTTTACTCCCAGCTCTTCCCTTGGATCTGGGGGCCCCCGACACATGCTATGGTCACTTCCAAAGCTCATGGTCCTGGATGGGCATCGCAGTGAGACCTGCCGTGTCCATCTGCTCAGCTCTCAGCAGTGCCCGTCACTGGGTGGTTTTATATGCCCTGTGTATACATATGTCCACAAACAACGACAAGAGAATGAAATCCTAACCCTGAGGACTAAGTCACCAAGTCTACTGGCTTGGAGCCCCAAGGGAGCTGTTTGGCAATAACAATCATATTTCATCATCCCCGTTGTTCAGATGGGGCAGACTGCGGCTCAGCCCATTCTCTTAGGTTCTGAAGGGCAGGGCCCAGACTCTCCCCACCACACGCTGCTGCCCTTGGAGGACGTGCTTCTTGAGCCGGCCCACCCTCTGAAGTCAGGTAAGAGCAAACACCAGCCCCCAGCAGGTCCAGACAAGAGGCTGTGCAGTCTGGGGGAGGCTGGGTCACTGGCCCCCTCTCTGGGGAATAACAAACAGGAGACAAAACGCCAAGAAGCAACCAAGACAGAAGAGTCTAGGCCAGGCAGAGGTTCTCTCTGAAGCACAGGTGCTCAAACCCTCCAAGCCACACATTTCTATCATGTTCCCACATTTTTACATTAACCATGTCTTACTTTTATGACCACAAAAATCGATGACTATAAAACAGAAGCACTGGAAAAGTTCAAAGAAGCAAGGACCCTATTAAAGAACCATCCTTTAAAAAATGCCCTTGAAAACAACTCATTTCTCTCCTGCTGCTGCTAAAAGCCAGCACTTGAGCTTGGCCGGTGGGAAACCCACGTCGTGGCCCGAACCCTACACCCAGCCTGGCAGGACTGGCTGGGCTGTTCGAGGAGTATGCACTGCGTGCAGATCTCTGTGCTGCTGAGACTGGGCAGCTGCCGGCGGGAGCAGGCGGGTTTGTGCGGACGGCAGAGCTGAAGGAGCAGACAGCAGCTACACCGTGTCTATCGTTGACAGAGACTCCAGTGCTGTTTTACGGGAGTGTGGGGGACCCAGGTGATGATTCTGCTTGGGGAGGGGTGTCTGGAAAGGAGCGGTACTCGTGTTAGACTTTTCAGCGTGGCTAAGACTTGGGATGGGCAGACATGGATGGGGCAGGCAGCCTGAGAAGAGGAAAGAGCTGCAACAAAGGCTGGGCCCAGAGGGGACATCGGGCGAGCTGAGGCCACAGGGGACAGACGTGCACGGTGGACACATGCAGCATCTCTGGAGGAAATGAGAATTCGTCTGATGATCTCCATGGCCCCAACTGGGGAGAATGAGCCAGGAAAGGTGTCGTGGACGGGGGCCCGCACGTCCTCCACCTCTCACGTTAGTCCAGCAGCCCGAAGCCCTTGGAGGCTTCAACAGGCAGCCAACTGACGAGAGTGGCTACTTCGGCTGCTGCTGAGAGCTGGGGCCGCACTGAGGGTGGCCAGCTCAGAGGAGGGGGTCCCCAGGACGCCTGCCCCCGTCCTTCAACAAACACTTCTTGAGCTACTATGTGTAGAATGCTGTGCTGGCTGCTGAGAAGGGAAACATAAATCTGATATGGAGCCTGGCACAGGGGCTTGAGCCCGCGCCCTGCTCAGTGTGTATGGGGGGGGTGGGGCGGGGTTGGTCTCAGAAGCAGTCATTACCTGAGCGTCTTCTGCGTGCTCGGTACTGTAACAAAAAAGGAGGCGCGTCACTGACGTGATCCTTCCGAGCATTCTGCAGAAAGGGAACGTGAAGCTGAGCTGCTAACTAACTTCACCGTCACAGTCAGGGATGAGACCAGGATGCGAGCCCAGGGCTGACAGCAGAGCCCCAGCTCACGACCACTGGGCGGCCTGCTAAATAGTTGTTAAAACCAGGTCCACGTGACAAATGTCGGGGCAGAGGTACAGACGAGAGCACCTGGGGATTCAGAGAGGACGGTCCTGCAGGGGGGTCCTTTCAGACGGCCTGCTCCTCCGAGAGGGACTGACTGACCCCAGCCTGGCCACTCACTGACTCCCTGAAAGGAGAGGGGGTGCCAGGGCTCAGGAAACCCGGGGACCCACACGCTCCCTGTCCTCAACAGGCTCCGTCTAAGGGGGAGACTGAAATGATCAGGCCAGGACTACACAGGACGGCAAGGGCCAGAATACGTGGTGTGGGGCCCAGGGGAGGGAGCAGGGAGGCAGACACAACTCATCTGGAGTGGCTCCACAGGGCAGGGCTGCTCTAGCTGGGGCCCGGGCCCAGACAGCAGGTGGCAGCTCGGCCTGGGCCCTGGTGGGAGACAGGGCAGCTTCTGCCTCCTCTGTGCGCAGCCCTCAGGGGCTCAGAGATGCGACTCCAGGCCACACAGCTGAAGCGCAGCCCTTGTGGCTTCCAAGGCCCCGCTTCTTCTCGGGCTGCCTCCCTCCTTACGGCTGCTCCCGGCCCAAGACTCGTGGGAGAGGCCTGCAGCTCTTCCTTCTGCTTTCTGGGTGGAATGTTTTGGTTCCCAAGACTGGGTGTGGGCAGAGCCCAGACCACAGGGGCAGCTGGGCCGTGAGTGCCCTGGGCAGGCAGCGTTTCCTCACTAACTCCCACCGACTCCAGAGCCAGCCCCAGACAGGTACATCAGCCACCTCCCCCTGGGGTCGGCCTGCTGGGCCCCTCGGCAGGGAGCCTTCAGATGGAACGCCAGGCCCACGCTGCTGCTGCCTGCTGTCTGCCTCTGTTTTTCTGCTTTGCACCAGGGAAAGCTGGGGCCTGCCCCTCAGAGGGAAATCTCCCATTCAGGGACTGATTAAGCTGTGAGCACCCCCTGGGCCTAAAACCTGGTCCCTCCCTTGCAGTGGTGCCCCTTGAGCAGGGAGGGGGCTGGCTCCTGCCCCTGAGCTGGCGCCTACCTCCAGGTGCCCTCCTGCCTTTCACACGGGGTGGGGCGAGGTGGGGGGGAGCCCCTCTTCCTTCCTCGGTCACCAGGGCCCGCTGAGCGCTGGCATTCATCCCCTGCACCGGAGCCAGCAGTGGCAGCTCCTTTCAAACCCCCAGAGAGAAGCGAGGCCTGCACGAGGCGGGCCTCAGGCCCTCTGTGAGGGACTCGGTTCCCAGGCCTTTGAGCTCCCAGGCTCGCCAGCGGGCCCCGGGGAGTGGCCACCATAATGCAGGCATTGAGCCCCTGCACACCAAGCCGTGGTGGGCGTCCCTCTCCAGGCCCGGGCACCCGAAAGCCCGTGCACGCCTGTTTGTCACTAGTAGTTACGGTGTCTTGAGGAAAAGGGCCCTCCCTGAGACACGGGGCAGGGCGAGCTGTGGAGGCCGCGCCTGAGAGGCCGAGCGGAGAGGCCCGCGCCGGCTCCCTCGGAGGCCTACGCGGCCAGGCCAGCGGCTGGGAACCTGGGAACTAGGAAGGTAGGGTGTGGCCTGGCCTCTGACGCAGCCGCCTGTTTTACCACGTCCCTGTCTTCCTCCTCACCCCACACTCCCTCTGCCCTAGGAAAGTGACAGCTTTGCAGGGGAGGACACACACACTCACACTCACTCCACCAGGGCTCAGACTTCTTTTCTCCGTGAAGCTGGCCCTGCATATTCAGGGCTGAGGCTCACTCCTCACGCCCATCGCCTGCCTGGCAGGAACAGAGACTTGCCAAGACTCCCTCCAGGGTCGCACGTGGGCAGGTGGTGAGTGAGGAGCCCCTGGAGCCACTTCTCTGGCTCTGGTCACCTACCCGGTGTGTGACACTGGGGACGTTTCTTAACTCTGAGACCGAGGTACCCACCCCTCCGCAGGATGGGCGAGGAGGATGTGAATACGTGCCAAGCCCCTGGTCAGCACCTGGGATATGACAGGCATTTGACAAGCGGTGGCTTTGGGGACAATCGGCCCAGCTGCCTTGACCACTCCCGCCCCCATCAGGCCCAGCGTGGACCACGGCAGAGGCCTCCCGTGGGTACAGGGACATCCGACACCTCTCCTCAGTCTTTACTTCAGCCAGTCATCAACACCTCTCTCCCACAGGCAGGATGAATGTGATTGTCTCCATTTACTGAGGAGAGACTGAGGCCCGGAGAGTCCTCCTCTATCTGGAAAGGACGTCCTCGACAAGGAAGGACATCCCTGTGGCCATGGTAGCTTTTGAGTATCCAGAGGTTTGGGATGAAATGTCTGGTCCCAGATACCTCTTGGGCTAAGGAATGAGATGAAAGGACCACCTCCTTAGCTGTCCCTCAGTAAAATCATAGTCACCCCAGGAGTGGACAGGGGTTGGGGGGTGAGGGTGGATCCCGTGGGACAGCCAGGAAAGTGCAGACTTTGGGGCTTTGGAAGCCTGGCTCCAATAGCCAAGCGACCTTAATCCTCATTTGCCGCACCTGTAAAATGGGAACAGCAGTGCCTACCCTGTGGCCTGGTACCCAGCCCACCCAGCACAGCGCCCAGGACGCGGTCTGTGTCCAGTGGCTTCCCCTTCCATCAGCCACTTTGCAACTCTGCAGCTCTTTCAGTTCCTCAAATGCTGCGCCCTCCTGCTCCCCACTCCTCCCACCCCAAAACCCTCCCAAAGATCCTTCCCTTTGCCTGGGACAGTCTTCCCTCCCCATCTACTCAGCTATCTTGTATTCATCCTCCAGGTCCCATCACAGATATCACTTCCTCCGGGGAGTCTTCCCTGATTTCCCGGTGGAGGTGGAGGTGAAGTCCCTCTGCCGTGCCCCCAGGCCCCTGAACTTCCTCCGCTCAGAGCACTTGTACACTGACGAGTCATAATCTGTTGTTTGTGACTTCCTCACTGGACCGTGCGCCAGAGGGCAGGGATGGGCGGGTTCAGTCCACAGATGCACCTGCAGCACCTCACGAGGTGCCAGACAGGGTCTCAGGACACATTGGTTGAAATAATAATAATAATAAATCAAAAGAGGGTCATTTCCTTCCTTCTCTGCACCTACTGAGACAACACCCCAGAGGCAAGGATTGTCCTCGGTTCAAGGCCTTTGCTTTATAATCTGACAAAAGGGTATATTATTCGTATTTTCGCTGAAAGCTGAAGCTACCCCCTCTTAGAGTGAGTCCTCACTGAACAACCTTCCAAATCTCCCCTCGTTCCGGCTCCAGGCCCAGCCGAGGGTGGAGTCCCTGCCAAGGCCCAGCTAACCTCCCACCCCAGACTCAGGGAGCCAAGCAGGAAGGGGGACTCCAGGCAGGGCATGGCCACGTGGTACCCAGCTCACGGCCAGGAGGGCAGGAGACTGTTTGCTCTCAGCTGTCACGTCTGCTCTGGCTTGTTCCAGCTCCTGGGTGGAATGAGGGAGCAAAGGAGGGCGGGAGGGACGGGGGACCTGGCAGGCAGCAGGCTGGAGCCTGCACCCTCCATTTGTGGCGGCTCTGGTTATGCTGGTGTCTCCAGAGAAACCCAAAGGGGCCGTGAGAACCGCGGCCGCCCTGCCTTCTGCAGTGGTGAGGCCCAGGAGGGCGGGACCCTCCCTGGCGGCCGCTCCTCTCCCTCCTTTGAGGCTCAGTTCAACTCCATTCAAGCAACAAGAGGGGGCAAAAGCTTCCAAATCCAGGGACTCTCTCTCCACCTCCGCCCCTCTCTGCGGGTGCTGGGCCCCCCGGCCTCGGGGTACCGGTGCCTGCCATCCACCAAACAGATCTTTTTTTGAGTGCCTGCTGTGCACCAGGCACCACTCCCATTGCTGGAGATAGAACACCACACAAAGTTCCTGCTGTTAGGGGCTTTCATTTCAGGCAGTGACTGAGGAGCGTCTTGGAGGATAAGCCTTATTATAGAGCAATTTCCCATCGGGACAATGGGCTCTCTGCGAGAAGGAACAGATCCATTCATCTCCAGATTCTCCAGGGGGCCTGGACAGAGCCTGACACTCAGTAATACGAGCTTCACAGCCACCGAAAAAGGCCCCGACAGGATTGGTCCCCAAATCCAGGAGCCCCTTTCCTGGGCCTGAAGGCCCTGGCGGTACCTACAGAAATGAGTGGGGACAGCAGTTCCACGTCATCAGGCCACACTCACAACCAGCTGGCTTCACATTTCGGGCTGCTTTCACAGGAAAATCCAGCCTGGGCGGATTTCCCCTCAGGTGGGGGCGGGGCGCAACAGGGCACAGTTTCTGGTATCAGATATGGGAAAATTAACGTGGCAGCCCACGAAAAAGATCAAAGCCGCTGATCAAAGATGCGGATCAGACGAACACCACCCCAGAGGCACAGTATCGGGGACAGTACCGCAACACGGGCCAGCCGGGATATGTGAGTGACGAACATGCAGATTTGCACGGAACCACACTGGAAGCAAAGGGCTTAGCACATGATCAGGGCTCAGTAACGCGTAGCTGGTAGTGTGATCTCCGAGGCTCCCAGCAGCCTGAGAGCTGTGTCCCTTACCCAGTGTGAACGTGGGGCCCGAGACCCCACGGTCCTCGCTGATGCCGAGGAAAGGAGACACCACTTGCTTCACCAGCTCCTCCAGCTGCAGATAACCCTCACTTGGGCCTGTGGGCTCGTGAACACTCTGGAAAGGAACATCAAGAGAAACAAAGGTCAGTCAAAGTGGCCACAGCCAGCTGGCACCCAGTCAACAAACCCTGACTGCCCACCTCCTATGTACAAGGCAGGGATGCTGGCAGACAGCACCCTCGTGGCCAGAACAAAGGGAACTGAAGCCTGAAGCCCGAGTCACTTGTCATGGGTCACGGTGATCAGAATGGTACATGGCGGGTACCATGGTGGCTGCTCCCACTGAGCCCCGCCAGTGCAGGGCAGCTGGACTGTCCCCACCCCATCTCCAGGGCTGAGGTCTGATTGGTCCCAGCCACAGTAATCCCACCCCCGCTGTCACAGTAACTGCTTCACACTCGGCCTGCAGGCACTTGCTATGAGCACTGTACGCGTATCAAGCAGAGGCCTGCCAACAACCCAAAGAGGAAGGTGCTCTCATCATCCCCCTTCTACAGATGAGGAAATGAAGGCCCAGAGATCTTAAGTAACTTGCCCAGGAAAACACAGCTGGTAAGTGGCAAAAACATGGGACAGGAACCAGGCTGTCTGGCTCCAAGCACATCTTACTGCTGCTTGTTACCAGGCTAGAAGAGAAAGGGGACAGAATATGGAAAAGTCCAGAACGGTAGAAGGAAGGAAGAGTCATTGTGGAACCAGACATAGCTCAGCACCAAGATGAGGAGTCAGTTCAAAAGCCCAGCGTAACAGGGGCCCTTGGAGCCAAGCCCAGAGCAAATACCAGCTAAAACAAGTGACCACAGCAGTCACCAGTGTTTTCTAGAAAACCAGCAGACTCCCGGGGAATTCAGTCTCTCCCTGGAAAGGACTCGAAGCCATGCTCTCATGTTGAGGGCTGCAGGGGAACAGAGACAAGGCTCCATGGGGGCTGTGCTCAGCCCAATAGGTCGTCCCGTCAAATTCTCAAAGCAATAGATTTTAAATCACCTTCCCTTAAAAAGTAAAAACTCTCCACTGCACTGAAGTTTTCGGGGATTGGAGGGAAAGACGGTCACAGGCAATGAAGCAAGGAGGCCAATCCTACAGGTTGGGGATCGCAGGGTAAGATGGAAGCCTCCAAGGAAACAGGCTGACTTGGCTCCTGTCGGCTCCATCACACTGAGGCGGGGTGGCTGGGGTGGTGGAGGGAGGGAGGGGACGGCTTAAGGAAACAGAGGAGCCTGAGGAGGGGGCTACACTGCAGAAGACTTGGAGTTTGGGGCTGGGAAGGGGTCGAAAGGGAGAAGATGCAGAGAAAACCTGAGTGCCTTCAATAAGGCCTCCTGGCACTCGAAGGCGGCCATGGGGTGAGGGCGGCGATGGGGACAGGGCAGCGAGGGGAGAGGGTGGTGATGGGGACAGGGCGGCAAGGGGACAGGGCGGCGAGGGGAGAGAGCGGCAATGGGGACAGGGCGACGAGGGGACAGGGCGGCGAGGGGGAGAGGGCGGCGAGGGGAGAAGGCCATGGCTTTTCATGCCCTCTTGGCTCCAATTCCACTCAGCCTGCGCTGAGGCATCGGGAAAGCTAGCAGCGGAAATAAAGGGGAGATGCAAAGGAGGTCCCTCTCGGAGGAAGGCACAGAAATCTGCCCGATCGGAAGGGAACCCTGAAGGCGTAGAAGGGAGAGGGGAGCTTTATCCATGCTCCCAGGGACCCACCCCAGGCCTCAAAAGCAAAGCAGCCCCAAAACCACCTCGATTGGGTTTCAGAGCCTCAGAAACTCTTTTTCCTCCTTGATATTTCTCATCCGATTCTCCCCCAAGCCTTTCCCCACTACAATTCATAAGCACTAAACAGACAGGGATGACAGAGAAAGCAGAAGAAGCAAGAGGCGGGAAGAGAATGCGTAAGGAAGGCGTGATTGGAGCTGGACGGTCTTCTCTAGGGGCTGCTGAGAACCCGGCTTGCACAAGGCCCTCCCTCAGGAAGGAGCTGCCCTCCACCCTCGGCCCGGCTGAGGGACTGGCGACACACCTGCAAGTGCAAAATGAAAATGCGGGGTCCCTTGTTCAAAAACTATTGAGAATTTCAAGATGGTGATGGGAGAGAATTAAACCAAGCACAGGCCCCGCTGAGCATGGGGCCCTGGGCAACTGCACAGCTCACAGCCCTGCCTGGCTGGGCAGGTCCCCTTGTTCTAGGATGATCTCAGGACCCGTCTGCACCTGCCAGGAGGAACCAGATCCCCACACTGCTCAAAGTCTCAGGTTCAGCCTGAGAACAGGAGCACACGGCCCACAGTAAGCGAGTCTGAGCCCCTTGTGTATTTGGGGAGAGTTGTTCAGGGACGTCTTGGAAGAGCATTGGAAAAGGGAGCAATGAAGGCCTGAGAAATGGCTCTTTTCTCATTCAGAAAGTCAGGCAGGGAAAAGTCGTCTCCAGACCACATGGCACTGTGGAACGTGGGGCCTGGGGAGAGAAGGGAGCAATGCTAACTACTGGGGCCCAGATTTCCTGCAGCGGGAATGGTCCCAGGGCAGTCAACCTGCAAGTTCCATTCAGATCCAGAAGCTACCATCCCTGCTGCTCAAGAAGATAGACCTGGACTGGGGAAAGACCCACATTCATCACTGTCACACTCCCAGCCCAGGCCCAAGAGCTCCCAGCGTGAGGAAGAACCTGGGCCCCCAGGGGAATAATGCCAAATGCCCTGTGTTAGAGGGGGACCACCTGAGAAGCTCACAGGGCGTTTCCGAGTACCCTGCAGACTGTGGGGGAGGAGGTGGTGGTAGCCGAGAAGGGCTGAGTGGAAAGGTAGAGAGAGCAGGAGCTGAGGAGTGGGTGACAATCCAGCTCTCTCACTAATTAGCATGTGACCCTGCACTAGTCAGCGACCTTCTCTGACCCTCCATCCCATCTGTGGAATGGGAAGACAGGTACTGTCTCTTGCCCGACCTCCCAGACATTTGTCACGACCATGGCATTTCTCCGACTAGACTTCCCTCTGCCAAGAGAGAAAGCCCTGTGTGATGGTCACCACCACGGGACTCGGGGCAAGAGACCTGGGCTCAGTCCTCCTCAGGCTCTTTCCAGCTGGTGCCACCACTCACTGAACAAATGTTTTAACACATACCATGTGCCAGAGACCGTGCTGGGTGCTGAGGGCTCCAGAGGGAGGAGAAAACAGACAGACCTGCCTGGACCTGAGGGGGCTGTGGGCCCCGGGAGAGCCAGTGCTCCGAGCAGAGGGGACAGCGGGTACACAGATCCCGCTGCCGCAGGGAGAGGCAGAGAAGGCTGTGTGGCCGGGACCGAGCAGCAGGGACGTCAGGTTCCAGGTGAGGCTGGAAGCGGGGAGGGGCCAGAGGCGGTGGTACAGACTTGGGCTGTTTCCCCAAGATCAGTGGGAACCACTGACGAGTCTGAAGCTGCCCCATGGAGAGCACACTGGGTGGGGGCCAGGGCGGATGAAGGAAGGTTCTTCTGGACAAACGTCTCACCCGTCTTCAGGGGCTTCAGGGACGACAACAGCTCTCTCATGTGGTTATCGGCTTGTCTGGCACAGGGCCCGGAATGTGGAATGTGGTAGATGTTTTGCATTACCACAGAGACAGGCCCCCTGGTCTACTGTCAACAGGTGAGAGCCCTCACCTCGACTCTCCTTCCAAAAACCAAAACCAACAACAAAGGAATCACCTCTCCTCCCTAAAATATTACACGTGGAAACGGGAGAGTGGAAGCCCAACTTCCTAATCTTCCTAGCAAATCCCAAAGAGCTCCTCCTCTGGACTCTTCCTTCAGGATCCCAGCTCTGTCTTTTGCTTCTCGGACATGAGCTGCACACACACTTTCCATCCCCTTCCTTCCCTTCCGTAAAACACTTGACCTGGCATTCCAGCCAATTACACCCCTCTCACCCGATTAGGCAACTCTTCCTCCTCTCTGGCTTCAGGAAAGGGAGAGCACGCCCAGAGGCACGGCCCAGCTTAGAGAACTGGAAGAGAAGGGCAGCCGGGGAGGGAGACATCTGGGGCCTCATGCCTGATGTTCCACCCCTGCTGGGAGCACGGCTGGGGTGACCACCAGCCCGGTCAGGGGTGACCCGTCTTTCCTGAGGACTGGCTCAGAGCTGACACTGCAGCATCAGAACTGGGTACAGAGTGGGGGACTGTGGCAGCCACCTTTTGGGGGTATCCCTAGCCCACGAGCCTTGCTTCTAGGAATTGTGCACCCCGACCATAGGACTGGGTTCACTGAGGCCATGCTCATACTACTTGACCCAGTCAAGGTCATAGCTGACTGGCAGAGGGGGGTCGTGGAGCCTGAGCTGGGCCGATCACAGTCTTTGCCCCGAGCATACAGAGTTCTGAGACTTATTGCCTCTGCGGAGGGACCTCGGATGGGCAAGTACACTTCTGGGGTTTCAGTTTCCTCATCTGTAAATGGGATTAACAACAGTGCCCACCTCATAAGGTGGTCGTTTGGATTATTTGATTCAGAAAGCAACACACCAAGTTCTTGCCCCATGCCTGGCACATAGCCAGGAACCAATAAATGCTGGCTTGTCTTCCTGTTGTTGAGTTAGAATCGGGAGTAAGAGACACTGCCATCGGGGTTGTCTCTTTGTGGAAACAACAAGCTGTGGGATCCACATTTGATCAGATGCAAACCCAAGCACTGAATGCAGTTCTGCAGAGAGAGAGAGAGAGAAAGTGCGAGTGCGCACAAGTCCAAGAGATCCTGGGCAGGCCAGGAGAAGCAGTGTCAGAGAGGAACAAGGCAGACCAGACAGAGCAGAGACCAGTAAGTGGAGAAAGGCTGGTGGCTTTGTGGCCTGACACAGTCTCACTTCTGGCTGGAGTCCCTTAGGAAGCCCACCTGCCCTGGAAACCTTCCAGTGCGTTCCTGGTCTGGCTTGAGCCAGGCTGGGTTCTTGTTGTGACTTGCAATTGTGGCTCGCTGACATAACCAGAGAGGAGAGAAGGTGTTTTCTGCCTGAATGACAGCCTTGCTCCTTGCACACCCCACTGGGATTCCACACTGAGCACAGAGCCAGGGACCTCAGAGGTGCTCAGGGGACGCACAGCAAGTGAACAAATGCACAAAGGAACGTGACGACCAAACTGAAGAACACTGAACCAAGCTAAGGTCCCTGGTCATTGGTCCCTTCCCCCACCCCACAGTGGCAGTCTCCTCCCTCAGCCTCAGTCGTGTCTCCACCAGGGCTCACCTGCAGGACGAGCAACATCTGGACAATGGACGAGGGCAGCCGGGACTGGGCCAGCAGCAGCAGGTCGCCCAGCTTCACCTTCAGCAGCACCAGGTCACGGAAGCCCAGCAGGGAGATCTGGCGGATGGTCAGCTCCTGGCCCTGGAGAGGAGAGAAGAGGCGGGTCGCGAGGTGAGAGCTCCCTGGATCTGCCACCAACCACATGGGGTTCAGGACAACAAATGGTACAGGAACACCAGGATGGGACAGGATGAGGCGTTGGCAAGGCCCAGGGGGCTGTCTAAGAGTCCAAGACTCGGCCCCCGTCCTTCGGGATGAAAGCTTCCTTTAAGATAAGGCATGACTCAGCCTGCCTAATTGACCCAAAGATGATACAAGACACGTGCAATGGGGCCATGCTGTCGGGGAGCTGTGAGTGGGCAGGAGGAGGAGGAGGGGTGGGGGCAGAAAAAGAGAAAAGATCAACACCGCCTCCCCACACTCCAGGCTCTTCCTCCACTTCATCTGTTAAATATTTGAGCACCTATCCTATGCCAGGCAGAGGAGAGAACATGGGACCTACGAGACTCATATAAACCGTCCCAGCAGACACACACGCCACCACCGATGCCTCACAGGCCCAGTCTAACCACCCCCTCGGGATCGCCTTCCCCGACCACCTCCAACAGCAGTGCTCCCTGCCCCCCTTTTCCAAGGTCCTACAGTTTCTATTTTTGGCACCACGTCCCAGCCCTCAGCAGTGACTGCTGTCTTGTTGGTATTTGTGCCCTCGCTTCATCTCAAGGGCTCCTTTCACTTTACAAGGCAGAAAAATGAAGGCCCAACACAGTAGGCACTCAAAACCACGTTTATCTAACAAGGAAGTAGGTCTCACACAGACACCTCTGCACAGGGAGCTGTGAGAAGGATCTAGCTGGACTAACAGACACCTCAGGGGGTGTTATACCAGGAGGGAGAACCCCTCACTCAGGGGTTTTAAAGTAGGGTGTCTGTACCAGCAGCAGCAGCAGTATTATTTGGGAAACTGTGTGGGGGTGGACAGGGGCAATATCAATTGTTGCCAGATCTTACAATTTTTCAACAGAAGCAGGCCAATGCCATCCTCAGACCCGTACAACTGGGCTCCTGCCTGGATCTGAGCCTAAGGGGGCCCCTCTTGGCCCTCGGATGACTGTACCAGGGGCCCGCCCAGACCCCACACTCCCCACTCTAAACCTATCTGGGTCATTGCATCCTGGAATTCCCTGCCCAAATGGTCCTAAGAGAGCCCCAGGTCTGCACGCCCCTCCAGGAGGACTGCCAGATAAGACACAAATGTGAGTAGTTTTTTTAGTATAAGCATATCCCAAATATTGGATTATTCATTACTGATCTGAAATTCAAATTTAACTCAGCATCCTATATTTTTATTGGCTAACTCTGGCAACCCCACCTCCCAAGTCTGCCTTCAGACCACTGCCGCGGGGGGTGACCACTGCAGGAAGGGAGAAATCTGTGGGCGCAGGGCCCAACTGTGCACATAAATGCTGTAACTCCTCTCGCGGGGGTGCAGGATGGAGCTGAGTATGGGATGAAAAGAGCAGTGGTCTGGAGGCCAGAGGCTGCTACTGGAATTGCTAGGGGAAGGTCTGACATGGCAAATGGGCTCCGTAGGCAAAACCTCCCAATTTTTAAATATTTGACATATATTTAAAAGAATTCCAAATTCCTTTAAAACACCATTCAGAGCACACAAAGGACGTGAGCCCTTACCTCTGGCACAGAGTAATTCCTGCTGTTGCTGGCACAGAGTAATTCCTGCTGTTGCTAAGGCTCTGTCATTGCTGCACCCCACGCCCGCGTGTCCATGAGCCCGATTAGACAGGAAGCCGTGACCCCCAGGATGGACAGCGAGCACGTGGCGGCGTAAGGGTATGAGAGAGACGTGTATTTTGGAGAGGAATGTGTCTTGGTCAACCGGCCTTGGGGACGTCCATCCTGTCCTGCACTGAGCAGCCTGCTATTAATCTCCTCAGATGGTGGGAGGAAGCCACACCTGGCAGGGTGAGCTGAGGGCGCAGGATCAGAATCCTGAGCGATGCCGCTTGTCCTGTGCTCTGCATCCTCGTTTGGCAGGAGATGAAATGGAGCTGTGCTTAGTCGTGCAATGAGTCTGCCCAAACCCAGCCACCCATCCCGAGCCTGGCGCTCTTTCTGCTACATCATGCGGCTTCTCGTCTTCAGGAATCCCTTATGGAGGGCAAGGAACATTATTCCTTTCCCACAATTTGGGAGCAACAGGACACTTGCTTAAAAATTGTGCTTCATACCAGAAAGAGAAAGACAAACACTGTATGATCTCACTCATATGTGGAATATAAACCAACACATGGACAGAGAAAACTGGACTGTGGTTACCAGGGGCAGTGGGGGTGGGGAGTGTGCACAAGGGGTGAAGGGAGACATATATATGGTGATGGACAAACAAAAATGTACAACCCAAAATTTCACAATGTTAGAAACCATTAAAACATCAATGAAAAAAAAAATTGTGCTTCATAAACAGACAGGGAGAGAGAAAAGAAAGACAAGGAAAGAAAATGTCTCCTTCCGCCATCTCCTCTATTTCTGAAAAGCAGGAGGAAACGAACTGCTCCAGGAATCTACAGACACAATACCAAGAGCATGCTGAGAGCCTGCAGACTGCTACTCTGCCTGAGGGCAGATGCTAAATACAGACCCAGGGCCCTCCAGAGATCTCCAAGGGCCTCAGCCCCCTCCACCTGGCGCCTGGTTCTCCCTCCGCCACCAGGAGGCCCCAGGCGCAAAGGCCAAGAAGCCAGCCAGCCGGCCGGCCGGCTAGCAGAAGGGCGTTCCGCAGGGAGACTGACCTGAACCGGATAAAATATTGCCTGCAGGGTGGGGAGAGTCTCAGTGAAGAAGTGGTCCCAGACTTCAGCCAGAACTTCAATGCGATTTTCACCTACACAAGGGCGAGAAGACGGGAGGGGAGAGAGAAAAGAACTTGTCACTACTGCAGGCCAGAAGACAGTGCCATGTTGGATGGAGCGTGGGCGGCGGCGGGGGAGAAAACTCAGGGCGACATTGACCTGCACGCCGTTGCTACAGTAAACCTGGGATTGGAAAGGAAGACTCAGCTGAGAATACACAAATATGTCTTCGACCCCCCAATCCAGAAACGGGAGCTGAGTTTTGAAAATCACCTAATAATTGCCATCATCACGAGAATGGTTACGTTATCAGGCACTGCGCTGAACTACTCATCTAGTAAGACACTCATGAGTAGACTCTAGTACCCCATTTTACAGGCTCAGAGAGGTCAAGGATCTGGCTCAAAGGCACACAGCTAGAAGGCAAAGCCGGGATTCCAGAACCCATGCTCTTGACCAGTGCAACCCAGGAAGATTATGTGCACGGTGATATGTTGTTTTGCTTTTTTAATTGCTAAGACACTGGCTTTTTATTCTGGCTTTGAGCTGTCAGTTGAGGGAGGTGGAAAAGGGCCTGGAAACTGTCACCTCCACCGACCGCTTTGCAGTAACTGGCAGGGCAGCTTCTCTGAAGAGGTCACCTGCAAACACAGGACCCACCTCCTGACACTGTGGCTCCTCTCACCCCCAGGATCAGGATGGCTGAGCGCAGCCAAGCGCCACCCCCAGGCTAGATGTACACAGGTCACCCAGCGCCACCGGAAGGCTGTGCGAGGAACTTTGTACCTGCGGGAAAGGCGGGCCCTGGCAGAGAGGAGCCTGCTGTTTAATGACCTAGATAACCGAGCAGATGGGGCACTGTCTTTGCTCATCTGAGGCAGAGAAACTGGGTCAGCCAAGATTAGCTACTGAGACATGCGTTTGGCAAAACACTGCCAGTTCCACTGAACAGATCTTGAAAGATTCATTTAGCATCTTCCATCTATTAATTTAATGGACAATAAATGCAGTGGCCGGGAGAGAGAACAGAACAAGGGCATGACTCGGAGCTGGCAGGGCAAAGACATGCAGATCTGGAAAGGTCAGAGAGAAATACACCGGGAGAAGATGCAAGTCCACAGCACCCTCCACTTTCCCTTGCAAAGTGCTAATCACACTTCGTTGGAATTGCTCCATTCGTTCTCTGTCTCCCCCATTAGAACGGGAGTGAGAGCACGGGCCCCGTCCATCCACCCTGCTCACCATTATGTTTCCAGTGCTTACCACAGTGCTAGACACATCCATTAATCAGTTTTTAGAAATCTTTGAAGGAATGAATGGCAAGTATCAAGTGTACAGGTTTTTGCATATGCAAGGGCTGGTGAGTGGAAGGAGGTTACCATTTAACCCAAATATGGGACAGGACAGAGCAGGACTTAATAGTCAGTGCCAACATTTTTGTTTACTCTTAGGATAAAGAAAACCTCCATAACGTAGCCAACCTGGCCCAGGAGAGTCTGTCTCCTTCTGTGCCTTCATCCTCCTCTGTATTCTCCTCAGCCTTTGGGCCCTAACTAGGTGGATTTTATTTTAACCCCTCACACTCACCATGCTCCTTCATGCCACAGGGCCTTTGCATATGCTAGCCTCTCTGCCCAGACTGCTCTTTCCCTCTCCTCTCTGTTTACATCTGTAGGTTTACAGATATAAACCTACATCTGTTTATCTTTCTAGTTGCAGCTCAAGCATCACTCCCACAGGAAAGTCTCCCCACACTGGCAAATCCCCCACTATGGATTGTAGTCTTAGTTCTTGCCCTGGTTACAGTTTATACCTGATGATGATCTGATTAATATCTGTCTCCACTGGCAGGTGGTGAGCCTCACGGGGGCCTGTAATCCTATGACGGTTTTGTTCACCCCTGTGTCCCCAGCACCTAGCAGAGCACCTGGCATATAGCAGAGAATCAATAAATGTTTGAATGAATCCCTCACTCACCATCCATTTTCAAATGTAGGCTATGCTAGTTTCCTCAGGGAGGAGTCAGGGACAACAAAAGAACCATCTGGAATGTCAGGTCATTCTGGTACCTAAAACCAAGGTGACCCCCACACCTGGACAATGAACCCCCAAGGAGAAAAGGCTATTCCAGCCCCTTTGCTGATGGCCCTTATCCTAAGCCTTCCATTACAAAGACAAGAGAGGCCCTTCCAACCTGAAGGGAGGGGGGGAGATCCCACAGGTCACCGTTGGTGGCTCCCTCCTCCCCTTCCCCACCAAGATGGAGAGCTCACGGGCACTGGAGGTGATCCCTCAGCCCAGCGGCAGGAAGGTGCCTCTCCTGGGAGCCTGGCTCTAATTGCTGGCTGCACACTTCAGAGGGTAATGGAGGTTTTGGAAAGTGTTCAGAGAGGAACATCAGACAGACGCAGGCTAACAAAGCAGGGTAGCCCCGGGGAAGAAAGAGTTAAAGGAAGGAGGTGACTTCACCTCCAGAAACAGCACACAAGTCAAGGACTGAGCTCCCTGCAAAGATGCAGGAGGTTTGGATGGAAGGTTCTAGATGACTGTCTACAAAAACTGTCCTCTAATGTGCCACAAGAGTTTAGATCACCAGAGGCACATAGGACAGGAATGAGAGGCTTCTTTCAAGTCAAGGTCACTGAAGTTCTAGGAAAGATTACTCCAAGGAAGACGGCATACCTGGCCACATGGGAGCAACACATGGATAAGAGCCGCCACTGCCCCCTCGCGGCTGCAGGCGGGCGGATGTGTAAGCGCAAGTAGGTCGGTAAAGCCAAGTGTGCTCAGCAAGTGGAGGATCGTATCAGTTGTTTCCAAACTGTATTTTATAGCGAGAGAATTCTTTGGGCCAAACAAAATCTTCCTTGGAGTTGTGATACGTAACACAAAGAAGCAGAGATGTTCTGGCTGAAGACGTGAAAGAGCCCGTAAGGCCCCCACATGTCCCTTCACTGTGCAGAAAGGACGCTGGCGCCCAGACCCCAGGACTAGAGGGGACCCAGAGAGAAGACCGCGGCCGGGCTCGCTGGCACGCTTGGGGGCAGGCGCACTGGATGCCAGAAGGCCTTGGTGTGCCCGTCTGGCTCCTTTCTGAGCTTTCGCTCTGAACGTGTGTGCGTTCACTGTCACCCAGGCGACAGACATTCAACTTTCGGTCTGAGAGGCCCTCAAACGTAACAACCTCCCAGATGACAGACAGACCACATGGCCGGAGTCCCTGCTTCTCTTTCCTCCCTCACTCGGCAGCCACCTTCCACGCATGTGTAAGAGCTGATTCCCAGACGCAAAAGGGCCACTAAGTTCTTGTCAAAGCCAGTCACTGACAAATGAGGCCTTGGGTTGGGGGTATTTTTAAAGTTGAAAGGTCGCAGCGTAGATGTAGTCAAGGGCCACCAGGCCACAGGTCCAGTCAACCCTCAGATCAACAGAGGTGAATTTCTAGCCTATGTTCTTCCAAAGACTTGGTGAGCTCTTACTGTGTGCCCAGCACTGGAACCTTCCAGTGTTGGTTTCTCCTTTTTCTTCCTACTTCGTCTTTCTAGGAGACACTTCACTGGACACAAGTCTCTTTCCCAAGGAATGGGGAGAAAAAAAGGGATGATCTCCAGCCCAATAAGTCTGAGTCTAGGGTAAATTTGATCTCCAGATGGAGGTCTCTAGGCTACAGTGGAAGAAAACGAAAGGACCACTTTGCATACCTCCTACGTGCCAGGTATGCTGCTATCCTAGTTATGCTCCCTACACCCCGTAGCCTCATTTTATCATTTAAAAATGATAAAAACCAAGGCTCAGAGAAACTAGAAACTTGCCAAAAGCCACCCAAGAAGTAGGTGGCAAGCTAAGATCAGGATCTACGTTGGTGGGAGTTGGGAGCAGCCCTCGGGGAGTTATGGGTTGGCCGATTCTGGCCTTGGGGCCCATCTCCCATCTCCATTCAGAGCTTTCTCTCCTGTCAGTTGGGCTCTAAAATCTTTTAAGCCCAGGACATTTTCCTTTGCCTATCAAATCAGATCCCATTATGTGGGTGCCTGCTTAGCCTCAAGTCTCCCAAATGGAAAGGCCTCCTGGCATGGATGACCTCAAGAAACATTACAAAGGCCTGGATCAGACCAGAGGGACAGCATAATTGATCCCTTCAAAGGACACCACCAGTACACATCCCATGGAAAAGCCCCCTTAACGAGGTCTCCAGAGAGACCACCGCCATTCCACTTGGTTTCTGGCAACACAGCTGCACCTGCACTGTTGTGAGCGGCCGGCTCGAATCGAAGTGCTGCCCCTAGCTGGAGAAGACACGATGGGGTGAGTCACTCACGTGGAGCCTGCACTTTTGGACAGAAGCACTCCGGCTGCCCAAACGTCAAAGGCTGAGTCACAGGGACCCTCTACGAGGCCGCCTTGTACTTGCCTTCACACAGCTTAATCTTCTCCTCCACAAACAACAGTCCTTTTGCAAGAAGCTGGTTCTGCCAAAAGAGAACAAAGAACACAAGCGTTGGGCTGCTTCGCAGAGTGACAAACCCTCTTCCACCTCCAGTGGGCGAGGGCACAAATTCTCGGCACTCGTGCGCCCGTCATGCCTCCAGGTTTAAGAAGCCTTCTGTCCCTCGGTGGGCCAAGCCTTCAGGAGAAGACAGTGAGGCATCTCAAAGCAAAAGAGCCAAACCCAACCACCAGCTCCATCCCTCCAACAGGGGCAGGGGCACGCCACAAGCTTGGTTGAATTCTGTGGAAGGACGATGGCTGACACCTTCATCTAAACTCAAAAACGGGAACACTGAGACAACGGGACAGTGCACAGAAATAATAATCTTTTTTTTTTAAAAAAAGGATAAATTTAGGGTGTCTCTACGCTAACATGAAAGAGACTGCAAACAAAAAGCTTAAGCAGCAGTGAGTATGTATCTGAGAATGAGTGCGTGCTTGGGAAGGTTGTGGAAAGAGAGCGTAAGATTAAGTCCTTTTGCAACTGCAACTAACAACTGTTGAGGGTTCTGTGTGTATCAGAGGGGTTACATCCTTCATCTCATTTAATTCCAACCCTCCCAATAATCCCAGCAGGTTGGTGCCATTACCCTTACTTTACTGATGGCAGTGAACAGACTTGCCACAGGAGACAGAGCTGGTCTTCCTCGCTCCAGAAGCCACGTTCTATCCACTCTGCTTTGCTGCCTTCAAGCAAGTCTTCCCACCCAGACCCCTTCCTTCCCTTGAAAGGACATGGAGCAGCCTCTCTGCAAGTCACAGAAGCTCAGAGAGCAAGGGTGGGCTGGCACTCACCTCACATTATAGATTATCAAAGGCCCATGCTCTGGGGTGGGGGGACCCAGGTGATATGTAGCCTAGGAAAAACCTAATGCACTTCTTAGTATTCTCCTTTATAAGACCCTGTTACAGTGATGAAGAGAACATGCATGGCAGAATGGAAAGAACTGGGTATCAGACAAGGGTTCAAGTCCCAGCTCAGCCACGCTGTAGCTGTGTGCTCTTGGACGTAATTTCCCTGAGTCTTGAGCTCCTCATCTGTAAGATGGCATCCCACCAACAGTGTCATCAAGTTCTTGTAAGAATCAGTCACTGTACGTACACACACACACACACACACACACACACACACAGTATTTTATGTCCTTAGCAATCAGTGGTAGTGGGTAGTGATGATAATAGCTGCTCTCCTAGCCCAACTCTCTTCACAAAAGGAGTGGGAGGAAGAGAGTCAGTAATGAAGGTACGTACATCAAAAATATTAAAATATTTTATTAGGGCCGGCCCCGTGGCTTAGCAGTTAAGTGCGCACGCTCCGCTACTGGCAGCCCGGGTTCGGATCCCGGGCGCGCACGAACACACCGTTTGTCCGGCCATGCTGAGGCCGCGTCCCACATACAGCAACTAGAAGGATGTGCAACTATGACACACAACTATCTACTGGGGCTTTGGGGAAAAAAAAAAGGAGGAGGATTGGCAATAGATGTTAGCTCAGAGCCGGTCTTCCTCAGCAAAAAGAGGAGGATTAGCATGGATGTTAGCTCAGGGCTGATCTTCCTCACAAAAAAAATAAAATAATATTTTATCAAAGGTACTATCACATTTCTGTGACTAATGCACATAAACCAAGTTTCATAGGTCCTACTAAAATTCACAAGATATGACCTAATTTAAAAAAGTAATTGGTCGCCATTTCCTTTCAAGATGGCAGATGGAACCCCAAATCAAAGTGACAGTGATCTTACAGGAGGAGTACACTAACTCTGAAGGAAAAAACCAATTCCTTTACAAAGAATTATGGAATGGACAGCTAATTAAGGTGAAACCCTAGCTATGTTCTCTACCTTCCAGCCAAGTCGATGAATTCCAGCAGCTTCTGGGTCAGAAAGCAAGAAAACACCACAGCACCAAATTCCACCTACCAAAACCAAGACTCTGACAGCTGAGCTGGATGGGAAAGGACTGCAGCGGTGTTTCCAGGGGGTGATCACCCCACCTGAATGTTTCTGAGCAAACATCCCAAGCGCGGCCTGGAGTCTCTGCCCGGGTCCCTTCACTGTTCAGACGAGGTTCTCAGACGTGCCCGTGGTGCTCTGTGCAAGGCTGCTGAGGCCATTATTCTCCATCACCACCTCTAATGTCACCACTGACATCCCAGCCTTCTCCCAAAACAGCTTCACAAACCCTCCTTCATTTCGTTTCTGAGATGCACCTCCCAATGTAACAGAGACGCCGTCTATGGTGCGGTTTTCACCATTTTGTCCCATGACTGTAATTCTCTACATTTTAAAGGAGGGAGAGGGAAGCTGGGGCACTGAGAGTAAGAAAAGCCTAAAGTTAATAACAAATGAATTCACACCCTGTAGCACAGGGGTTGGGATTTTAGGTCCTCAGGGGCAAGGACCATTTATTTTAGCACCTTGGCTCTGAGAACAGTGCCTAGAACATAGTAGATACTTAATAAATATTTGCTGAGTATAAATTACCTGTTTTGGTGCTAAAGACTATTTTGTACTTTTAAGAAATCAAGGTAAGAGATAGAATGTTTTTAAGAGGGGAGAAAATGATATGGGGTCCCTAAATCTGTTGACATTTCTTCATTTGATAAAGATCACTTTGTATCTTAAGGGATAAACTTTTTAAAATGGCCTAGGTTCTCCTTCCTTCTCCTTTCCAGTTCTTCCTCCTCCAAGGAGGCATTTGGAAAAAAAAATTTTTTTCAAAGAAAAGAAGATATGTGTGCAATATGGAGAAATGGAAGAGAAAATATTCTTTTAAAAATTCTCACAATACATCCCATGGAAATTCTGTAGCGTGGACCAAAATAAGAGTAAGAAAAACTTGGGGTCAGAAGGGGCCTAAGGACCATCCAGTCATGCCCCGCCTCCCCAGTCCTGTGGTCAAGATCCATGGGTCACACACAGTTTTGATGATATGTGGGTGGACCCGTTTTGCACGCAGCTAAAGCACCTTTCAAAAGCATCTTGAAGATTCTCACAGCCCTAGGAGTTCGGAGGTTTTGCGCTTATTTTACAGTTGAATAGGCTGAGGCTAGAAGCGGGGTCCCCATCTTTGAGTCGGCACCGGCTGGTAGAGTAAGGATCTTTCGGGTCAGCCTAGCCCTCCTCCGCCCCCTTCTCAGAACTGGAGCTGTGCCCGGTTGTTCTTGCTCAAACACCTTGAGCACAACCTGCGTCCAGTGTAGGTGACCAGCCTGGTTCCCGCCCTACCCCGCCTGGGTCTCAGTGAGTCAGTGACCTCTCCTGGGCATCTGCAGTCACACAGGCGCCTACACGCCATGGGGTCCTGTGTCCCTAAGGGCCTCGAGCTCTGACAGGCCCTTGGGGCTGCATGCTCTGCAGTCGCCCTCTTCAACTCTTCCTATTTGTATCTTTGAATTTGTGTTTAGTGTACAATGAGGCAACGGAGCATGTATGTGCTGGAGGCTCAGAGCCTCAGCTCACCGCACCCCCATCTCCTACCACCTTCACAGGAGGGGTTTTCAGGCACCTGCTCCCCATGCCCTGGCACCTGGCCCTGCCCGGGTTCCCCTGCCCGGCCCACCCCCAACTGTCATCCTACACCGAGGTGGTGCAGGGTCGTGTGGGTGGGGGCTGGAGCAGGGAGGGTCGGGGTTGGGCACACACCCTGCAGTGTCTTGGGGACAGGCGTGGTGGCAGCGTGCCCCACCCCACCAGGCTGGCAGAGCTGTGGCTTGAGTGCTGGTGACTCAGTGGGGCCTCTCGACCACCCCTGATCTACGTACCAAGAGTACAAAGGTTACAATCTCTTGGGGGTCACCTGTGCCCCGTGAGTTGCAGCAGCAGCCCCATGGGAAGGGGAGACTGACCTCCCCACCCGGCCGGGGCCACAATTCCATTCTGCACTGGGCCCTGCAAATTATGAAGCCCGCGCTGTCTGCTGGGCACTTCCCCTAAGGAGGCGCCAACTGGACATCAGTGGGGCAGAAGGCTGCTGAGACCTAAAAAAACGGAAAGAAAGAAAGAGAAAAGAAAACCAGCCCTGACCCAGGCGGCTGCCTTACACTGTTTGTCCTTCTAAGCGCTTGTCCCCCGGCCTCACCTCACCGAGTTCCTGGCCCCCGACAAACGCCCGACTCTGGAAGGTGCTGAGTAAGTGTTGGCTGCAGGCAGCGCTGATGGAGCTGTATGGCCCCAGAGCTGGAGAGGAGCCCGACTTTTCTCGTCCCACCCCCTGCCCGATGGTGCCAACACCGCCACCTCCCCAGCCCGAAGGCTTCAAGCCAAAACACGGTGACATTAAATAGAGCCACCTAGGAAACGATTCGGGACTTGGAACAGGGCCCGTTGTTACTTAACGCATCCCCCCATCCATAAATGAACTTAGACATGGAACACACAGCACTTTAATGAAGTGGCAGAGGAGCGCAGAGGTGAAAAACAGCTGACATATCTATTTTTTCTAAGACATCAAAACATGGGCTGCCAATAGAAAAACGAGGTTCAGCTAGGAAAAATGCAAAAAAGAAGGCTGTCTGGGCAAAAGCACCCAAAACCACGCGGTCTTCCATGGGTAGGAAAGACGAAGCGTATCCTGGGTAATCACAGAGGGCAGGCAGGAGGAGGCAGGGGAGGGCAGATGAGAGGGTGGGCAGCTGCAGTGCGGGGCTTGTCAACAGCGTGTGCCCCTCTTCAAGCAGGCACCTCCCCAACCGGCCAGAGGGACTCAGGCAAACAGAGGACCACAGGGCGAGGGGCCGGGGAGGATGGTGCTACCCGGGCTTCCAGAGGGAAGAGCTTTCTGCACAGCAGGAATTCTGCAAACGCTAAGGCTGCACTCCTAATGCTTGACGGTGATGGTGAAGATGACAGAAGAAGGCCAGTAGTTCTTCACTGGTTTTTACTCTTTGTCAGATGCTGTATTATACATTTCTCATGCATTATCTCATTTTACCTTTGCCACAAATCTATGCCCTTTGTACAGAAGAAACTGAGGCTCA